TATGAAAGTTGTGATGTGATTCTTTCCGGACCGTCCGGAATTTTAAGAAAGCTCCTTAGAAATTCGCTTAATCCTATTAAGTTTCATACCGGAGCAAGTCAATTATTGCACGTCTCCGACAAGCTATAAAGCGGTTGAAAATTAAACAGCTCCTTGTTTTCCAATAAGATCGATCGTATTAGCATTTCCGGAGTTTACTTTCGATGCAATTGGAGGAAGCTTACGGCCATCAACAACAAAAATCAAAGCTCTTTATGAGACACTTTTGCAGTAACTAGCGGACGTTTAAGGCATTTTTATCGCCACTAAAATTTCTGGTCAGATTTAAGTCACAAATTACGGTCTATAAGTAAACACGAAAAAGGATCGTAAAAATAAATAGGGTAATATGATAGAAAAGGCAGTGAAATAAACTCACGCTGTAAATGAGTGTAATTACATCATGAAACTCACCTGCAAACAAAAAGCAACAGAAGTTATTAATGAAAGCCATTAACTCGCCGCTTTTATGGTCAGAGGATTGAGTTCCTTCAAGTGAACATTTCTAATTCAATAATTAATATAAAACATTAATCGTGAAAAACTAAAATCAAAAGCAAATTTTTATTTTGCGTTGTTGTTTCGTTAAAAAGTTAAAAACATGGGTGGGTCCCAGATGCTTTTGAGGGTGACATCCGGATCCGTGTTTTTAAACGCAGCTTTTAGCACATGTTGAACGTTTCACCAATTTATAGGTGCGAGTAATTAAATGCTTAACGAGTAACAATTTTTAATATGCTATACAATATGTGTAACGCAGTGGCGTTATACATATATTTTCCGTTGTAATGTATGAGAAATTGTTAAAATTAATAACTTCTATTCATACACATTGTTCTACGAGTATTATTCATTAATAAACGATTTTTCAATTTCAATAAATACAATAATTTTGTGATGTTTTATTTTTTAGCTTATTTCATAAATTAATTTTCTATAAGTTTATAACTTAAAATAAAAGTAAAAATCGTATGTTAATCGGAGATTAATCAATGACATCATAATGATATTATAAAAAATGCAAATTATATAGAAAATAAAGGTCTTTTGACAAACTTCAAGTTAAATATTTTTTCAGATTTAAAACACTATTTTACTCTAAAAGTAAGTTATCAAACGCTAATGAACTACGAGTACTAATAATCTTAATAATTAAAAGGTTCGCAAAGTTAATAGTGTTAAAATTATTAACTCCTCTAAACTAATGAAAGAGAACTGTTGTTATTGTTAACGTGCCCAGTCTAGGAAGATAAATAAATTATTAGATAATAAAACTTTTAAAATAAAAGTGTTCTAAAACGGGAGTGATAAAAACTCTTTATATTAACCATAATAAATTGATTTCTATCCATGCAATATTTGTTAGAAATTTTCTTATATACTTTTTGTATATAATTTTTAACTGAGCTAATTTTATTTTTACTTACAAATATTTAAAAAAACAGTGCACTGTTTAATTCCTATAGTTCAAATAAA